TGGTGCCCTTTGTCAAAAACCAGTTGGCTGTATGCTTTGGGGTTTACTTCTAGAAGGTCTCTACTCTGTTCCATTGGCCTACATGCCTGTTTTTGTGTCAATGCTATGCTGTTTTGACTATCACAGCTTTGTAATATATCTTGGGGGCAGAGAGTAAAGTATCTCCTATTCCACTCTTCTTGCACGGTATTGCTTTGGTGATAGGGGGTCTTTTATGATTCCAGGCAATTTTTTTTCTTGTTTTTGGAGAGGTTTTTGCTGTAAGGGGCATGCACTCACCAGAAAGACAGAGACAGAGAGACAGAAAGCAAGAAATCACTTCCCAGGGGGGATGGCCATGCCACAATCCCTTCTCCTCCATTCTCCTCTTGGGATCTTGGGCACGCATGCACACACACCCAGCGTGAGTTTAAGTCAGCGGGTCTGGGACTCAATCGCGGTAGACTACGTGGGAGTCCAGCGACATAGCCATTACGCTAACTGCTGGTCCTGAATCCTTTCACTATTTCTAGAAGTAACTACTTATAGCATTCTTAAGTTGATTATCTGAGTCTTTGTCAATCAGTATGTCATTGATATGTGCTATCAAGGAAGTAGAATATAGCGACAGCTGGCAACATTTTATTACCAACAACCAGAGTTTGGCTATGGAAAGTTTCCTTTAAATAAAATGGGAGAAGAATGAAGTTTCTTTGAGGCTGAATTTCCATTCATCTATTTTGTTGGCTCCACAAATCCACTGTCATCTTACATAACAGTTTTAAATTAGGTTCACAATATCTTTGAAAGGTGAATCTTGAGGAAGTCATTTTGACATATTACAAAAAGAATTACTTTAAATGGTACTAATACAAAATCTATTAACTTGTTGATATTTACTGGAGTTTCCTTTACAGTAGCCATGTAGAAAATTATGCATACCAGTGCTTCACTGTGGCAGTCATGAAGAAGCCTACTCAGACCTCCCTCCAAAAGCACCTACTGTAGAGGCCACAGCTCACTGACAGCTTTTAGCTGCTAGACCTTTGGATTCCCTATGGAAATCAGGCCACACTTCCCACATTCTTTGAGTGCGCATTGGTAAATTTGGCCTTTCCTGTCTGCACAGGACTTGGAGTTGAGCAGCTAGAGGTCCTGGTCTTCAAAGTTGTTTTTCTTTTTCTTTCTTTCTTTTTTTTTTCCTCACAAGTGGACAGAACAAATATCCATTAAACTATATATTGTTTGGTAGTAGGACCCTTTTGGCTATTAGCACTCAGGCACCAGTAGAAGGAATAATTAACTGGTTAGCAGAAGGTGGGGCTATTTTTACACATGGGAGACAAGGAGAAATACACATGGCAATCCACTTAGGTACCTCTTGGAATACCATGTTTAGCACTAACTGGGAATGGACACACAGTAATCCCAGGTTGAGAAGAGTATGATGATCAAAGTCTAAGACCCCCTAGGAATGAATGTTTAAGTCAAACCACTTATGTCAACAAGATCTGCTGAAGTGATAGCAGAGTAAGGAGACTATGGAGTGGCTAGTGGGGGACAGGAAATGTACCAGTGTGGCCTGAGAGAAACTGCAATGACAGGGATTATACTTTGTCACATTAACCTCCCTTTCTAAATTCATCCTTAGGAAGAGGGGTCTATAGGAATCATGGAAGAGCCCTATCATGAATATTGTTAGGGACTCATTAATAGTTCTCAGCTGCTACCAAGTTTGCACCAGAACAAGTTTTTCCTGCACTACTCTCTAATAACAACCGAGCATAGGTGGAGATGCTAGAACTCAGTCATTCTTATCCAATTTAGAATTCCTCTGATGGACAACAGTGGTTTAGCATTCTTCACTGATTTGGTGGATTCTCAGAAATGTACTGAAAACTGGGGCTCTTCCTATTCATTCTTTACTGCCTTTATACTTTCACAGGTCTCAACCTATATTCTAATCTCTTTACCTTATGCTGCTCATTCTCCTTTCCTTCATAGGTATTTTCTCTAACCAATCTCTTGCATACCTAACCCTGTCTTGGGATCTGTTTCTCTGAACATTGTTAACAGACATATTGGATGTTGTTTACAAATTTCAGCAAAAGGAAATGACAAATAAGTTGCTTAAAATGATTAAATAAGGATCTTCAGTATGAAAAGTGAGAGTGTAGGTTAATTTTTGTTTCTAATAGAACTTTGGGGAGGCCAAGATGTCAAGTCAATTTGTCCCTCCACTTCTATTGATTCCCCTTAATCTCCAGGTTTTTTCCCATAGCTCTTTTAACTTTTTAAAAAATGTTTCTGCTTCTTTGACATATATTAATGAATTAATATGATAAATGTTTATTTCAGAAATGTAAGTATGTTCAGTGAGTTAGAATCAATTTAACTTCCTCTTTGTATGGTGGCTCTGATGAGACATTTAAGCATAGAATCCTATATGGTAATTATGAGAGTATGGCAGTAATACATATTAAGATTTTTTAAAAATAAACAGCACATGTAACAGTGTTACATTATGCAACTATAAAAATAATTGACAGAATTCAAATAAAATGTTTTTTAAAAGAAGAAATAGTTCCTTAGATTGTTATCAAGGGGTAAAAAGGAGTTGAAGGAGAGATACTTAACACAGAGGAGCTAGGATGAGTCTAGAGTGTAAAAGCCACACCAAGACAAAGACTAGGTGACCTTGGAGAATGGCCTCAACATATTTAGTTTTATCCCAGAATATAAACACTGTAATAAACTTATGTTAATTGAAGATGTCTTAAAATAAAGCTTACAGAGCCATTACCAGAAAAAAAAAATCATAATCCTGAAGGATATAATTTTAGAAGAAAGCTTAATATCTCTTCTTCCCATCTGTATTGAGAAATGGTAAGGAAAAGCTATCAATTGTGGAAAATCAGAGGAGTTTTTGAGGGTGTTCTAAAACTGTTTCTGCAAAATCACTCACCATGTTAATTATTGGTAATTCACACAATCTCCTGAAAAATGACTGAGCAGCCGGAGTAACCTCCTAACATTGAAATTACACAGTTTGGCTTTACATTAGCCTGCATAACCTGGTCTCATCCTTTCCATTCAATTAACTTTACCCTTTCCAATATACCCTTATAACTTGTCAGGCCAAACTTCCCAAGGTTGTTCAACACATCACACTATTCCTGTCTTGCTACTTTTGTTTGCAAAGCCCACCTGCCCCTCCTTTTCAATTTTGTTCATCTTTCAAGTCCTGTATTTATTCTAGACTTTACCTTGTATGTTCAACTCATGTGCCTTGCCAGAACTATAGTCTTGTTTGTATATTTATTTTACCTCTCCATCTTGACTATAGACTCCTTAAACACTTGACTCATTTGATAGATACCCATAACTGTAGAATTTTAAAACTGCATTATTTTATTATAGATGCTAAAACTGGTATGAAGATTGTCAATGCTCTAGCAATTAAACTGAGTATAGGAACTAATGCAATGATTGTAGTGTAATAAAATTGAATGCTTCCTCTGTACCTGGCATGATTGTAAATTACTTACATATATTAACTTATTTGACAGTGGCACCATCCTTCATGGCTTTTTCTTTCATATCCCATATCTAACTCATCCAATGTTCTTGGCTGTTTTCAAAACAGAGCTGGGGGAACCAGCAGTTAGCGTAATGGCTATGTCGCTGGACTCCCACGTAGTCGACCGTGGTTCGTGTCCCGGACCCGGTGGCTTAAAACTCATGCCGGGCACGTGTGCGTGCGTGCCCAAGATCCCGAGAGGAGAATGGAGGAGAAGGGATTGCGGCGTGACCATCCCCCCTGGGGGGTGATTTCTCGCTTTCTGTCTCTATGTCTCTCTCTGTCTGTCTGGCGAGCGCACACGCCCTACAGTGAAAATCTCTCAAAAAAAAAAAAAAAGGAAAAAAACAGAGCTGGAATCCTCTCACTTTTCACCAAATTCACCATCCTGGTAGTAGGCCCTATCATCTCTCTACTGGATAATTGCAATAGTTTTCTAACATATGTGTGTTCTCAAACTGCATAGTGTAATCATTGAAAATTTTTAAATCTCACCTTATGTTCAAAATCCTGTAAGTTCCATACTACCCTACATGATCTTCCTCCTTTCACCATATCCTCATCTCCTATTACTGTCTATCTTGGTCACTCTACTCCAGTAGCCCTGACCATCATGTTCTTCCACAAACACACAATCCACCAAGAGCCTTAGATCTAGTATTTTTGTCCTGCCTGGAGCACATGGCCAGTATTACAATCAGTTAACTCTTTCATTCAAGTCAGCTCAACTTTCAAAATGTCATTAAGGACTACTCTGATTTCTATTTAATTAGAACATTTGTCCTTCCACTTCTCTTGAATCCCCTTAATCTCCAGTTTTTTGGGTTTTTTTTTTCCTGTAGCATTCTCTTTCTTTTTTTTTTTTTTTTTTAAAGAGGTTTCTGCTTTAGGGCACTCTGTGTAGGGGTGGGGCTGTGAGAGGGAAAAAGCCAAAACCAATATGAGCCTGGAGGCCATTTAAATCCGGGTTAGCCCTGCTTTTAAAAATTACCACAGCTCTGGGGCTCCTCTTTGCATCTAGACACCACAGAGTAGAAGGGCAGAGGAGATGTCCTTTAAAGAGCTAAAGTGTGCAGTTATTTCTAGGGAGTGGCTCGGAGACTTGGTAGCCTTGTCAGTCCCCAGGTGTTTCAAAATTGGCAGCATATGCGACGTTGACCATCTTACCAAAATAAATCCAGTGCCATCAGGTTTAGGCTCTACCACACGGACCTTGCCCTACCCCGGCGGCTTCAGCGCCCTCACTTAGGTAGTTAGGCCGTGCCTAAACGTCACTCTTCTCTGGGCCAGGACGTCCCCACACAGGAACTCGGCGCCCCTGCGGTATATCCTCACAACCAGGCGCTCTGCAGAGGCCATAGGCGCCTCAGCGACAGCGCGCAGACGGCATCGGAGCGTACATCCGGGCGAGGCCTCGCGGCGTCACGCAGCGGCGGGCACGCACGCGCTCTGCGCCCACCATGAGGGTCGCGGCTCTGATCAGGTAACGCGGTGCCGTGCCACCTCCCTCCTCCCCGGCCAGCCTCTCGTCCCTTCCTGCCGCCGCTGGCGCCAAAAGACGGTGTCTACCAGAGCCTCGCGCCCGGGGCTCGGCGGCTCGGCGGCCTCTCCGAGCCACCGGGAGAGGAGGAGCCTTCGAGCTATTGCTCGGGCCGCTAGCCCCTCTGTCCTGGGCTTGTGCTTCTCCTTGCTGACCGTCACAGCTCCTCTGGTCTTCGGGCCCTCAAATTTGATTCTCCTGGGAAAGGTTAAAAAGTGCTGACGCCTGAGTCCCGTGGCCAGAGGCGCTGGTTTGTTATCTCCCGTGCGCCCAGCGTCAGCGTTTCAGGAACTACAAGGGGCCATGAAGTTTGAGAGCCACTTCTTGATTCCAGTCTCTCACTTAATAACCTCGCCTTCTTCCTAGTCTTTGTCCTTTTGTAGAGTTCCCTTGAGACCTGTGTCTGCCCTTTTAGGCCCCGCCTCCTCCACGTAGGCCACCCCTTCACCTTCTCCCACGTGTGCAGCTCTAGGACTGATGTGGACTATTCATGAAATCCTTGTGTTTCTGTTTTGTGACTCAAGTACAGAGAAGGGGAATCTCGTCCTTCCTGGTGGAGACGGAATTGTGCCAATTTTATGCTAGATCCAGTTGTTGCTTGACTGCTAATCAGTTATTAGAATGACCTTATGGTAATATACTCTGTATTTAGAAAGGAGTTTGAAATCGTTAGTAACCAGTATGTCCAGTCTAAGTGTTTCTGTTCACAATCTATTAACAGAGGCAACAGGGAACACACTGGCAACATTAAAAACGGTTTAACTATACATATTTGTTTCATGAAATTAGAAACTAGAGAGAGATAAGGATATCTTAAGCTTAATAGAAAATATTTATTATGCAAAACTGAACTGCCTGTGTTTCAAAATGTTTTTGCACCAAGTAAACTGGTACTTTAATTTCATTTTACCATAAAGTTTTTGAAGTCCACTTGTGCATTGCAAGGATGCTTTTACCTTTGTGAGCACAATGGAGATTACTTAAATTTATTAATTCAGTGTGTAGGTAATTTTTTTTTAAATCCAAGATAATTTATATAGGCTGACAATGTTGACCTATTAATATCTCTTAATGGGACATTGCAGTCCCATGACTGGAATATTCCAATTCCTTCTACTTCAATGCAGTTTTTAGGAGACTAGGCTATAATGTCACAATAATTACTACTATTTAGTAAATTTAATCTGTAAAGTGAATGATTAAGCTTTAACCATTATGATAGTTAACCATTAAGAATTAAAAGTAGCCCAGGAAATCCATAATTCATATCAACGTTCAGCTTGCCAGTTGTTGAATAATAAAAGCAATACACACCAACTGAAAGTTTTAAAGTATTAGGAAGGGGGGCCATGTAGGAGTCCATCACAGGTTAAGGGGATGGACTCCCAAATGGCCAACCGCAGTTCAAGTCCTGGACCTGGGAGCTTGACATTTTCTTGCTCTTGCTCTTTCTGGTAAGCACACATGCCCTGTATCAAATATAAAATAATAATAAAATAAGATAATTATTTTTAATGAAGGTATTGGGAAGATAGGAAAAAAGATTGATGTAGTCCATTTCAGTAATAGTGTATATAGTATTAATATACTAAATATAAATGTTTATATTAACATATATTCCATAAATGTATAAATAACAGATTATTATATACTATAAAAATTGTATTCTAAGACCAATGCTGTAAATATGACTATATAGCACATATATACTTATATATACATAATTATGTATTTTACATATGTATACACAATATATTTAAACCTGTACACAGGGAATCTATTTGCAGTTCATATGTGTCTACACATGACAGATATGTGATAAAAATGGATGTTTTAGACAATAAGTGAACTCAAGATTCTTACATAATCTTTAGATCATAACATTATGGAGAGGATTATTTAGGGAGCCATTCTCTAATTTGATGATGAAGCATGTAAACTGAAGCACATTGAAAAATTTACTTCAGTATCCCAAAGTTGAAAACTAAATCTGATTTCAACCAACATGTACACTTACACATCATGGAGTTCTGTGAGTTGAGTGAAGTGCTTAGCATATCCCAAGCTTGTTTGAAAATCTTTTGTTTTCAGATTACAATACTTGGTTTACATTTGTTTTAGGGTTCAATGCTTGGTTAACATTTTGTTGGTTGTAGGTGTTCCATAGAACACATTTTGGGAAATACTATTTCAAAACTGTATTTGAAATACAGATACAACTTTTTTTTTAATTTTTAAAATAATTTTATTACATTATTATATATTATATATGTTATATATATGCCTTGTTATATACATATTTAGTGTCATCATATATATGGTGTATATGTGTGTGTATACTCTTGTATATATGATAATGGCTGAAATACTAATAGTGTTGATTTTTTTTTTTTGGAAAGATTTTTGCTATAGGGCAAAGGTGCTCACTGGAGAGATGGAGAGACAGAAGGTGAGAAATCACCCTCCAGGGGGAATGGCTACAATGCAGTCTCTTTGCCATTCTCTAGGGATGTTGGGCTCACTCTATTTTTTAGAATTATTTAATTTTATTTATTCATTTATTTTAATTTGACCATAGAGAGACAGAAAAAGAGGGAAAGTGAGAAAGCAAGCCACCAAGTCCAGGACTCAAACCATAGTTGGCCATGTGGAAGTGTCCAGCGCCTTAACCACGCTGGCACTTGCTGGGCCCATCATGGAAAGTTTCATCTAAGGAGTATATAGGTGTTTAGCTAGGATATAAGTTTACATTATTTTTTATTTGAAAGCACTTTCTATATTAAGTAAAGCCTTAATATACAAACAATCATAAACCTAAATGTTAACTTTCTTTTTTTTTGGAGAGATTTTTGCTATAGGGCACATGTGCTTGCCAGAAAGACAGAGAGAGAGACAGAGAGACAGAAAGTAAGAAATCATCCCCCCAGGGGGGATGGCCACACCGCAATCCCTTCTCTTCCATTTTCCTCTCGGGATCCTGGGCACACGGCGTGAATTTAAGCCACCGAGTCCAAGACTTGAACCGTGGCCAACTACATGGGAGTCCAGTGACATAGCCATTATGCTAACTGCTGGTCCCAATGTTAACTTTCTTTGCTTAGCATGTGTTTTGTAGCCAGTGAAACAGAATAGAAAATACAGGAATAAACCCCAAATCATAACTGATCTTTGACAAAGGGTACAAGACAATGCAGTGGAGAAAAGAAAGTCTTTCCAGCACATGGAAAAGGTGATGGATGATCTGGATATCCACCCGCAGAAAAGTGAAACTGGACCCCTATCTCTCAATATTAACAAGAATCAACTCAAAATGGATGAAAGGCTTTAAATGTAAAGCCTCAAACTGTAAAACTATTAGAAAATGGAGGGGAAACCCTTGAAGACGTTAGAGTAGGTAAAGATTTCTTACATAATACCCCTAAAGCATAGGCAATAATCCCAAAATAGACAAGTAGGGTTACTTCAAACTAAAAAACTTCCTCACAGCAAAGGAAGCAATTAGAGTGAAAAGGCAATCCTCACAATGGGAGAAAATATTTACAAATTATCCCTCAGATATTGATATCCAGAATATATAAGCAACTTGAGCAGCTCCCCTATAAAGAAAATGAATAATCCAATTAAAATATAGGCTAATGAGTTGAATAGGTAACTCTCCAGATGACCAAAAAGCTTATTTTAAAAAGGTCTCAAACTCTCTTGTCATAGGGAAATGCAAGGTAAAACTATAATGAGATATCATTTAACCCCAGTTAGAATGAGTAGGATCAAAACAGTAACAAAGTGCTGGCAAGGCTGTTGTACAAAGGGAAGACCCTTACAGTGTTGGTAGGAATGTGAATTAGTATACCCTCTGTAGAAAACATATGGAAGTGCCTCAAAAACCTACAAATAGAACTACCATATTGACTCAATAATCCCACTCCTTGGTATTTACCCAAAGGGCAGTAAAACACTCAGAAAGACATTTGTGCATACGTATTTGTTGCAGTATTCTTCACAGTTGTTAAAACATGGAACTAACCTGAGTGTCCAAAAACTTATGACGGATTGTAAAACTGTGGCACATACATACAATGGAATGTAACTCACCCATAAAATGTAGTAAGATTCTATCATTTAATTCAAAGTTGATAAATGTAGAAGAATTAATGTTGAACGATGTAAACCAGAGTTTGAAAGATACATGCCATGTATCTCCATATATTCAGTTCAATTTGTACTGAATAACTGCATTCTACAGCATAAATAGAAAGATCTGAAAATACAGAGAATGTAAGTATAGATTTTAGAGACTCTAAGGGAGGGGAGTGGATTAGTGAGTGTGTGGTAGAGGATGGGTGTGAGGTGCAAAGGGAAGAAACAATAGACAAAATGTACTGAATGTGAAGTTCTTTGTTGAAAAAAAATTAGTATAGTGACCAGCAGTTAACGTAATGGCTATTTCGCTGGACTCCCATATAGTTGACCACAGTTCAAGTCCCGAACTCAGTGGCTTAAACTCACGCCGGGCGTATGTGCATGCGTGACCAAGATTCCAAGAGGAGAATGGAAGAGAAGGGATTGTGGTGTGGCCATCCCCCCTGGGGGGGTGATTTCTCACTTTCTGTCTCTCTGTCTCTGTCTTTCTGCCAAGCGCACGTGCCCTATAGCAAAAAAAAAAAAACTCTCCCAAAAAAAAGAAAAGAAAAAAAATTAGTATATGTCATTATGGGGACTTTATATAAAATATGAAATCTGAAAATAAATATGTATTAAATCCTTTCACAGAGTTGAAAAAATGTTCTTTGTTATAACTATGTAATTTCATAAGTTTTTATGAGAGGCAATGTTAGACCTTTAGGTTCATTTATTTGGTTTGTTTATTGCTTAGAAATTAATGTGTTTGTGTGTGTGTGTGTGTGTGTGTGTGTGTGTTTTCATTCTAATATGAAACAGTCCCTTATGTATTCTGAAAAACTGACTAAATGATGTATTCCATTTTAGTATCAGTGATTGAGTTAGATGATAGCCAACAACCTGATACTGTATCATTTTACTTTTTTAGTGGTGGAAAGGACAGCTGTTACAATATGATGCAATGCATTGCTGCTGGGCATGAAATTGTTGCTTTAGCAAATCTAAGACCAGCTGAAAATGAAGGTAAGTGTATACCTCTATTGGGAAGTTCCCTGGAGACTGAAATTCCAATTTTGTACTGGCATTCTATTTTATGTAGTATGCAAAGGCAAAAAAGCAAAGTACATTTAGCATCAGTACGATACTATGTTCAGCATTAGAGTTTAGCATTGAATGTTTCACTTGCCTATCCTCTAATCCTCATAACAACTAGACAAAGGCATTATTAATCTTACTTTTTAATAGATAGAGCTACTGCAACTCAGTATTTTGTAAGTCTGTCCAGAGTAAAATAGCTTGCATAAACTTGCTGGGCTGAGACTGAATGCTCTTATTTCAGAGACCACTGCCATTCTACCAAACTATATTTCTAAGTTTTGCAAGTGATATACAAGTAGCTAAGATACAGTCTCATTTCTTAAGGAGTTTGAGAAGTAAGTCATATTGATGAATGATAATATATGAATCCTATTATTAAAATGATAGATTTTTAGCTATATTAGATCTAAGCCAAACATTGGACTCAAGAGAAGCATAAAGTGATATATTTCTACTTTTAATTTGTCTTAGGTGATATGGATATCTACATATAATCCACAGACCTGATTTTGTCTACTTTTTTTTTTGTTTTCTACCCAATGAAATTTCTCTAAGTATAATTTTTTTAAAAAGGAATATTTTCACCAATTTTGTTTTTATATTATTTTGTTATACCTATATAACCATATATGTTAATTGCTGAAAGGTAGTAGGGAGAAAAGATTAGCATTTGTTTAGCTTCATGTATTATTGCTTCTCCACATGGCTCTTCTAGTTAGAACTTTTCATCATCCTCTGTACTTAAGTCCTTTCCAGTTGCTGTGATTTTGCTGTACTGTTATTTTAGTATTTTAGGATGAATTAAGTGAACAGTATATGTGAAAACATTAGTCATAGTTTTTAGTAAAAAGTAGCACCCTGTAAATTTAGTTAAATCTATTAATAGCTCCAAATGTTTCCCTCCCTCCCTCTTTCTTTCCTTCCTTACTTCTGTTTTTCCATGTTCAAAACTGTTAGTCTACTGTACTTTTACTTTTATATCACCATACAGTTTTTTAGTCATTTTATCTTTGCTTTATCTCTTCATATACGTTGATTATAAGCTTTTTGAGAGGAAAGATAACATCTTCTGTCTTCTTTAATTGCTCCTCAGCACATGGGACAGCTCCATGGCTCTCATAGGAGATTCTCTTAAAGTTTATTGGCAGGCAGATGAATAATGAACCAAACTAAATTACCCTAGTGCAGTGAGCTGTTATTTTAGACAGATATGTAAATTTCCTTCCTTCTGTGATTAAGATCCAAGTGATACTGGAAGTGATGTGGAAAGATAGAGATTAGAAGTATTTCATTCTTGTAGAGGGTCAGAGGTAAATGCACACTCTAGGATTTTGTGCTGGGATTCTCATGATGAGTAATAGCTGGTGTTTTAAAAGGGAAGGTTTTTTTGAAAATGACCTTCTAGTACTGACTTTAAGAAAGAGAAAAGTCTTTGAGGGTGAGTGCAAACTATACATACCTTCTATGGTATAAAAAAAAAAAAAAAAAAAAAAAATAGAGACAGACTCTCCTTCCAAAAATATGCTGTTACTGAAGGAAAGAAATTCCGTTAGCCCTTGGATAGTCAGGCAGATGGGTCTTTTTTAAACATTTTATCTTGAAAGCATTAGTATTTATAAAGCAGATGCTTATATAAAAGATAATACATATATGGTATAATATAATATAATTTCCCTCCCTTGAGTTTCTATTTTGTATTCAGCTTTTCCACGTGAATTATTATTCTTCTTTTGTATGAATCATTAATGTATACTCTTCCTTGTACTCGTGGTTTGCTGGCAGGGTGGTTAAATGACAAGCAGAGTGTATTTTAATAGTTAAAATTTTAGTAGAATGGAGACGTTTGTTCAGAATATTGTTAACAAGAACAAAATCTAATAATAAGTGGAATTAGAATGTTATGAAGTAAAAATCTGGCAAAAATTATTAGAATCTTTACTAATTATTTTAGAAGAGATTAGATGTCCATGGGTTAGTAGATAGAGTTTAGTTAATTTTTGTTTAAAGTCATTTTTTTAAGTTGGGGATTATCGAATAATTCATTGACTAGTAGAGTTGATCCAAATGTAGAGCAGTGTTGTTTAAAGAGAATACAGGATCCTAGGTTTTATTTTATTTATTTATTTATTTTTGAGAGACTTTTGCTATAGTGCATGTGTGCTTGCCAGGGAGAGAGAGATAGAAAGTGAGAAATCACCCCCTGGGGGGGATGGCCATGCTGTAATCCCTTCTACTCCATTCTTCTCTCAAGATTTTGGGCACGCATGCACACACTTCTGTGAGTTTTAAGCCGTTAGGTCTAGGACTCCAACTGCGGTCAGTCGGCGGGAGTCCCGCAATGTAACCATTATGCTATCTGCTAGTCCCCAAATCCTGGGTTTTCAATGGATATTCTGGAAAGAAATTTATTTTCATCCGTGGGAATAATATGTACTTGTCATAAAATTTACAAAACTCTTTAAATTAGTAGTAGGTACTTTTGTGGTATGTTAATTGGCTGCTTCAGGCAGCATTGGAGACTTTGGTTTTATTTGCTGTCAGGCCATTATTACTGTGTAGCTTCCATTAATAAAAGTTACATTGTGGCTAGGACTAAATGGTGCTTTAAAGAAAAATTATCTTATAGATTTTTGAAGGCAGTAAAATATTTTAACTATTATGCTAACTTCAGAATTATTTTGTTAAGAAGCTCTAATTTCTTTGAATAAATAGATTTGATTCTATCAATATCCTTTAAAAATAATGTCAATACATTTAAAGATCCAGGTTGGGGGGCGTGTTCAGATGGTGGTACAGCAATAATGCAACCGGGCCCAACTGGGAAAGGTCCTGAGCTTGCATTTTGAGCCCTCTTGAATACACTAGGTGAATATTGTATGCTTATAATCTAGGCCAGCAGAGACTAGGGTTGGACTGCAGTGTGAGGATGCAGTTAGGATTGCTTTTCTCTCCCTGTGTTTCTCTGTCTGTCTCTCTCTCTCGTAGGAAGAAGTAAGTAAATAAAATAAGAAATGATTCTGTCTAACTTTGAGATGAGGGAAGACTGAATAAAGGCTTTTGGTTAACTTTGGCTATATCTCTACTTCCTACTCGGACTAAGAATAGACAGATTTATAATAATAATGTGAGTATCATTCTGAAGGAAGCCAATCTGCTGTGTAGGTTAAGAAACCTGGTGAGCCAAAACGGGATGGCATATGGCGACGGTTTTGATTGTTGAGGGGCACTTACATTATAATTTTTAATTCCCCTTGATAGACTATTTTCACAGTCAGTGGAAAGCCCGTACCTGCTTGGCATGTATACATACTTATACACATGAATATGTATATGTCAAACAAATTATTTTATAACCACTTTTTAACTTAATAGCATATTGTGAACATTTCCTATGTCATTAAATATTACTCAACGATAGCATTATCCATATGTCTTCCTTGGAACACACATACCACTGTGAAATGTCAGTGTTCTATAGATAGATAGACAAGTTTGGAAGAAAGTTTGTAATCTCTCTTGTTGGAGTACCCGAAGCCTAGGAAGAATTGCAGCAAGGAAAGTATTTTACCTACAATGATGTTGTGGAATCTTGTGACCACTAGTGATTGTGTTCCTGATTAGCTTCAGTTATCCCGTTTCTATTCAAATTTCTAACTACTTTAATGATATTGAATTTATATATGCTTATATGCTTTGTTAAGCATAAAATATACCAAGATATTTTCATTTTTTTGTTACAGATATCTGTCACTTAAATAAATACATAAATATGTATTTAGTAATGAAAAGTTTTTTTTGTCAAGTCTAGATAACTTCATGAATTGCTGAATTGCCTTGAAAAAATATTTATGCAATGAAACATTTAACTGAATAAACTGATCAATGTTTATTGGATACATTATTCTTCTCTTGAAATGTTTGTTGTATAAGGTTTTAGATTTTTATGTATAATTGTATTAGTAATTAGCAGTAATGATGATTAGAGCTGACAGGACCTAGATGCAACTGTAGACAAATATGCAATTCTTGTATTTTATTTCACTACATAAATGCAAAAATATAATACCGTAAGCTTTTTAATTGAATTTTATTTTTTTGAGAGAGATATTTTTGCTATAGAGTGCATGGACTTGCCGGAGAGACAGAGAGTTCCTTCTCCTCCAGTTTCTTCTCAGGATTTTGGGTGCACGTGCATATGCCGCCCAGCGTGAGTTTTACGCCACTGGGTCTAGTACTTGGACTGTGTTCGTTCAGCTATGTGGGAGTCTAGCAATGTAACCATTACGCCATTTCCTGGTCCCAGTATAGTAAGCTTTTAAGTTCACTGTTAACCAGTCCTCAGTAGTCGAGCACTAAAACCTAAATGGACTTTCAGATCTTTCATTTTCACTCTGAGTGATTATTTCACTTTAATTGTTGCAGTGGGGTCTGATGAACTGGACAGCTACATGTATCAGACAGTGGGTCATCATGCCATTGACTTGTATGCAGAAGCAATGGCTCTTCCCCTCTATCGCCGTACCATAAGAGGAAGGAGCTTGGATATTGGACAAGTATACACCATATGTGAAGGTGATGAGGTTGAAGATCTCTATGAGCTTTTGAAACTTGTTAAGGTATGCAGAGTGACCAATACATATGTTAAATGTAGTATGTAATTTAGTAAATTACATTTAATGAATTGTTTAGTAATAACCAATTTATAACTGTTGGTAGCCCATTTTAAAAGATTTTTGGTCTCTTTTGGGGGATAAAAAAGATTATGCATTCATATTACATGGAATTTAAAAATAAGAGTTTCGGTATAGTTTGACATTGAGGATTAACAAATATTATTTAATTGAGCTTTCTTTTCCTAAGGATATTGGAGCTGATGGCCTTTTGGTAATTTTTCCTACTTTTTGAATGCCTACTCTGTGCTTGACATGTAGTGTGAGGCTATGGAGATAGGTCAATGCACAGATCAGACAAAGGCCTGTTTTGATACTGCTCAATTTTATGTGGAAAGGGACAGACAATAAACAGATAGGATGCTTGGTGGTGAAGGGTACCACGAGGAAGAATGAAGCAGAATCAAGGTGATAGGAAGTGTCGGCAGAAGATAGCTGTGGGAGTGATGCTATATATAGAGGTCAAGTAAGACTTTTCTAATAAGGTGAAGATTAAGTAGACGTAAAATGAGAAGCTAAGACTTTCAAGAAGAGGTAGCATTAATAACTTAGGTCACGTATGTAAGAGTTTGGTAGCTATTATGCACTCTTGTTAATTTCTCTAGGCAGAAAATTTAGGAGAGGAAGTTTAGGGCTTATATATCTGATAGATACTATACTTAGTAAATGCTAATAAACTGAGGTGATTTTATTTTGAACAACTATCTTTACATTCTCATCAGTAGCCAATTATTTGAGTACAGTTTAAAGAGGAATTTTTAATCTAGGCAGCTACAGTTAATTCATATAAACCATATTTGATATAGGAATCTAAATCAGTATTTCTTAGATGGCTTAGTATTTTTTCACAAGGGAAAGGAAGATTTCTGTTCGTTGTTCCACTAAGAATTATTGCATTTCATCTTGCCACTCTTCAGAAATTTAGGTCATGAACTTCTGTCATGAAAATTTCCTAGTCTCAAATAGTTACTTCAATACTATAATTTTGATTATGATAAAAGCTTAATATCAGTTTAGGATTTTGATTAGAAAAATATATGAAACACTTAAATTATTTTAAAGTGTTCTTGATTAAGATTGTTTTTATTTGTATATCAGGACATTTTCATTTTATTTTAAGGTAAAACTGATGAGAACACAGTGGTGTTATATTTACAGTTTAGTTATGGATAGTATAATAAGTAAATAGTATTTATAAGACATCAGAAACCTGTTTTTCTCCTTCTGAGAAGAAACTTACTAATAACAATTTCGATTATCACAAAAGGGTAAAACATAAAATAATTTTTTCATGGTCATCTCCCCAGAAGGGTGCACTTAAGATCTTGACACTAGTCACTTTGAGGTGTGAAATATTAAGTGAAAATCTTGCATTTCTAAAATTTCTTGTTCAGGAACAAGAAGACTATACATTAAGTTTTTACTATAAACCACTATTACAGAATGATGAACTCACTAAAATAATTGGGTTACTTAAAAATAACAAATTTGATAACTTTGAAAAAGCTCTCTGTTAATCACCGTCCTCCAGGAAAGGGAAAGATAATAAATTGCTAATCAATTTAATTAAAAGTGGGCAGATTAGTATTAATAGTAATTAAGAAGAAATTTCCCTTTCAATCTGTGCTGTCTTTGGAGAAATAGATGCTTTGTCATTACCTTTATGGTAACCATCAGTTATGACATAAATTAATGCTAATATTAAATCTTAACATTTTCTGCTTTGCTAGTTCATACATGGTAATGATAACTGTAGTTGAAAGAGGTGTTTTCAAGTTGTTTGGGACTATATAGTTTCTTCTTTTCTTATGGAGAAATACTAATTTTACTATAGGATAGTTTAAGGACATAAATATCAGAAATTTATTGCTTTCTATGGAAGAAATTGAATAATGAGGATTTTATAGTTAAATGCATTTATGAAACACAGGTTTGAGGGTACCAATAAAGGTCTTACATATTTTAATGAATAGCTGAGTGATTATGGGATAAAAGAACCTAGAAAAGCTTTAATTTAAAAGCTAAAATTTTGACCAGCAGTTGGTGTGGTGGTTCAGATGCTGGACTACCACATGGCTGACTGAGGTATGAGTTCTGGACCTGGCAGCTTGCTTTTTCACTTTTGTGCTGACTCTTTGTGATGAACACATAGGCCTTATAACAAATTTTAAAATAATAACCATAACAAATACAATTAAATGAACATTTAAAAAAAAAAGCTTTAATTTGAGTTAGTCTTCACTAGCTCCAAGAAAAAGAGAGAACTATGTTTTTTTTTTAATTCTGTGACTATTAATGAAGTATTCAAAGTAGTTAGATTTGTTTTCATTTTGAACATTTATTTATAAAACTTTGCAGTTTTTTTGACTTTCACATATGTTATTCTGTTTTTGTAGCTCTATTCTTTTTCTAAATTTTAGATATAACTTTTAAGCAGGAGTTTTTTTTTGTCAGAGAATTTAATTGCTGATAAAAAGTAGGAAAAACTTAGAGAAGAATTTAGAGTTACAAGTTTTCTAAATATCTTGTAGAAGTTATAAGTACTGATAGAAATGGCAATAAACTTTTATCTTTAAATAATTGTGTTTATTTAATTCTATTTGTTATTATTTTTTAATTTGACCAAAAAGAGACAAAGAGAGAAAGGGAAAGGGAGGAAGCAAACCGCCAGGTCCGGGACACAAACTATAGTCAGCCATGTGGGAATCCAGTGCCTTTAACCACCATGCCTCCTACTGGCCCCTGTAATAAACTTTTATGTCTTATTTACCAGGTGACTAGGGTAGTCAGATATATTTATTTCATGCTGTTTATAAAAATATCTGGGTTTCATGTGGCTGATCTGTTTTTTTACTCTTTAGAATTTCTTTACTATTTAAACGTAACTTTTATAGCTTTCTATGTGTTGGTTTCTTCCCTTGTTTTACTGTAATTCTTTAAGAAACTGCCTTGGGACCAGCAGTTAGCGTAATGGCTATGTCTCTGGACTCCCTTGTAGTCAACCACGGTTCACATCCCAGACCCAGTGGCTTAAAACTCACGCCAGGCGTGTGTGCGTGCATGCCCAAGATCCCGAGAGGAGAACGGAGGAGAAGGGATTGCGGTGTGGCCATCCCCCCCTGAGGGGTGATTTCTCACTTTCTGTCTCTCTGTCTCTGTCTGTCTGGCTAGAGCACACACCCTATAGCAAAAACCTCTCCAAAAAAAAAAAGAAAAAGAAACTGCCTCAGGTAGGGTACTTTAAAATCCTTACATTTTGAAATGTTTGATTCCGCCCTCATATTTTATTGATGGATTGGTTGACATTAAAATTTTAGATTGGAAGTAATTTTTTTCTTAAATCATTAAAAGCATTACTACCTAATCCTCTGGGCTTTTGCTGATGCTGATATAATTTTTATTTACAAGTGATTCTTTTTTTTTACTGTGTTAATTGTTATGACTGCATTTTTATACTTAGTATATTGAAATGTCACAATAATGTGTTGAACATTGAAGATTGATTTTCCTGTATCCCTTCTGCATCGTCCTGTTGATTAGCAACATATCCCTCTCCTTTTTATGTCATTAAATAGTTTACGGATAGGTATGTAATCCAGATGAAAGCCAGTCACAACATGGCATTCTTCTGACCTCAGTGATTAAATCAGTGATGGTTTCGTTTGCCTCTGTTGGTCCTAAGAGAATGATATTTAGGATGAAGATTGGTTGGCAAAAGATAAGCTCACTTTTCTGTAATAAAGAGATGTAAGTTCTAGAACTGCTATAAGCTCTTTTTCTTTTTTCTTTGGTTTTAAGGGAATAAAACTTGATATCAAATCTGACACACAAAAAATGGCAGAGCCAGAGCCAGCAAATGGTGTAGTAGTTATATCACTGGACTCCGACATGGCCAGTTGTGAGTCAAGTCCTGGACCTGGTGGTTTGAAAATCAACGCTGGCGCCTATGTGTCACGTGCGTGTCCAAGATTCTGGGAGGAGAATTGAGAAGGAATTGTGATGTGGCCCTTCTTCCCCTTCACACACACACACACACACACACACACACACAGAGGGTAATTTCTTATCCTTCTTCTCACTGTCTCTGTCTCTGTCTTTCTGGTGAGTGCACATGCCCAAAGACAAAAAACTCTTAAATTAAAAAAAAAAAAATGACAGAGCCAATAGAATTGCAGTATAAAGATAGCTCTAGGCGATCTTCTGTTATTGGTTTGATAATTCACTTTTTTGTATTTTCTCTGGTGCTCTCACTGGTGAGACATTAGACTTTCTAGAGGGAATCTTGTATTTGTCTATTGTCTTTTCTTGCATTTTTTCCTTCTCTGGTGCTTTAATTGTACATTCTCAGACATTTTCTTTTTAAATTTCCCTACTTTTTTTTATTGATTTTTAAATTTATTTTATCAATTTTTTTTTAAATAGTGAAAAACTTAACAGGAATTGTTTGTATTTTCAACAACAACTTGTTTCTTTCTTTAATAGAGTTTTTTTTGCTCTAGGGCACATGCATTCACCAGGGAGACAGAGACAGAGAGACAGAAAGCAAGAAACCACTGCCTAGGAGGATGGCAATGCTGCAACCCCTTCTTCTTCAGTCTTCTCTCAGGATTTTGGGCACCCATACACATGTGCCTGGCATGAGTTTCAGGCCATTGCGTCCAGGATTCAAACTACAGTCAGCCATGTGGGAGTGCAGCCATGTAACCATTACATCATCTGCTCGTCCGATTTGTTTCTCTTTTTATAGAATGGCAAATCCCTACATCTCTCTTAAGATAAAAAAATATTTTAAATATTGCTTTTAAAAAAAATAATTTTCTTCTTCATCATTATTATTTTTTAATTTGACCAGAGAGAAACAGAGATAGACAGAGGGAAAGTGAGAAAGCAAGCCACCAGGTGCAGGACTCAAACCATGGTCAGCCACGTGGGAGTCCTGTGTTCCA